ATTTTTTTTTTTTTTTTTATTTGTGTGTGTGTGTGTGTGTGTGTGTGTGTGTTTCTTTTTGCATAATCTGTATGCTCCGCTAACTCTGCTTGCCTGTACTTTTGTGATGGGTATGATCATTCTTTTGTTTCTGTGTTGAACACCTTCTTAAGCATTTCCTGAAGGACTGGTCTAGAGGTAGCATATTATCTTAGGGATTGGATTTTAATTCTCCATCACTGATGAACCTTGGCTTGGCAGAGTCTTGGATGAAATTGCTTATCTTTGATAACATTACAACTGAGACTTCAGTTCCTTTTGTCTTGTAGTGTTTCTGAAGATATGTCTGGAGAAATTCTGATAGATCTTCCCCATAGGTTATCTGATCCTTCTCTCCTGATGACTTCAGGATTTGTTTTCATGCTTACTTTGTGGAGGTGGATTACTATGTGTCTTGGGAATGGTCTCTTCATGTGATACCTTGCAAGAGGGTTCTCTGAGTCTCTTGTGCTTGAATGGTCACCTCTCTAGGGAGATGTCCGAAGATTTATTGGATAACTTCTTGGAATACTTGTTTCATGGTGTCCTCAGTTTCCCTTTCTGCTTCGGGATACCAATCAGGCATAAATTATCTTCTTGACATAGTCCCATGTTTCTTGGAGGTTTTGCTCATTCTTTTTGAGTCTCTTTTCTATGGATTTGATAGGCTGAGTTAGTTCCATATTTTAGTCTGTAAGCTCTGAGATTCTTTCCTCTGCCTGATTGATCCTGTTCCCTATGCTTGTTATTATGTTTTTAAATTCCAGGATGAAGTTCTTCATTTTCAGTATTTCAGAATGAGCCTTTCTGAAATAAGCCAAATCTACTTCCTGCATGACTTGGGTGAGTTTTGCTTCTATTTTCTAGTGACTCTCCTTATTCATTTTAGCTATCCAATCTCTGAGTTCTGTGACTGCCATTCTGTGGGGCTTCCATTGTTTGTTCACTAATAGCTGCTTTTTCTTTAAAACTATTAGGGTTTCCTGTGTTTATTCATGAAAAACAACTCTTCCCTCTTTATCTTTCTTCCTTGGTTTTGTTGTTTTGAAGCTAGTTAATATCTTTCTGCTCTAGGGCCTTTTCTGTTGTTCAATATAGATCACTCAGTGACAGAAAGACATTCACTTCTGTTCCAGGCTTTTCTGCTGCAGAGTTTTTCCCACAATTAGTCTGGTGGGGCTGGTTTTCAGCCCCCATTGCAAGTACTCTGTGGGGAATGGGTGGGGCCATGGGTCCCCTGTTTGCTATTTGCAGTTTTCAGCCCAGAAGACTTCCTGCAAGGATGGACTTCAGGTGCTTTCTGTTTCATTCCCTCACCATTCAAGTCCATGCTCAGCACCTGAAAGAGACTAAGCTCCCTCCCATGAGGGGAGAGGAGAAGGGGAATATACTCTGTGGGTGCTCAGAGCTGGCAGGAGATCCGCCCCGATCTGGGGCAGGGGTTGGATGCCAGATATTGGTGGTGGATACCAGCCAAGTATAATCTGTAGGTGAGTTTTCCCAGCCTAGGAGCTGGCCATTGGGCTCTGCTGGCAGAAGGCATACACTTGGAGGCTGTCTGAGTGTGGGATTGTTTCCTGTTCCACTTGGGCTCTGGTTCCCAGCTTCTGTGCCCTGACCAGGACTCCTCTTACTTGGGACCAATGATTTGTGTGTGTTTGGGAGGGGATAATCGACCCAGAGTATGTCAAAATCACTTACTCCTTCTTGCACACAGGGCAGGGCTTCAGTTCCTATGTGAACCTATTGCACTGTGGAGGATGGGGCACATGGAATCCAGTGTCTGCCCCCTGAAACTCTGCTTTCTGCTGTCTATGTGTTTAAAGAGACCTCTGCTGGGTTCAGGGTGCTTCACCCATCCAACACTGTTCAGGGTGCCTGCTTCTATTGACTGTTGAGTGCCTACACTCTGCCTTGATCAGTGAGAGAGGCATCAGTCTACTGCTCCATTGTGGCCATTGGGGATCCCTCTCCTATCATTTTTTCCATAAGACAGAGAGATACTGTATTATTTTTCCTCATATTGAAACAAATGACAATTTAGAACTAGTTTCTAAACTTGCTACCTTAAATAATAAGTAGGTTTTACGATTAGTTAAAAGAACTTTGAAATCAATATATGCAGTGACTATGTCACAATCACATTATCATGTAGTGTACACAAAAGATAGAATAAAATGTATCTCCTCCTATAGTAATTTTAGCATACTTTCCTTCTCAGCCTTCCTTCTCAACTTTATACATCTTTGGAAACATTCAGTTCAGTTATATATATTTAATATATTAGACCTTATTTATAACCAATAAAAACAGAAAGAAGATGAATGCATAGTGAGTCAGAACCAGGCAGTTGGAAAATAATTGCATGGGTAGCAAAAAGACAATTTCTTCAAATAAAATTGTAATAAATTATAGACTAAATTATTGAACTTCAATAAAGTGTCTTTTAGAATTTTAACACAAGTGTAAGTCACCTCTGATTTTGAAAGCTTATTTTTTTGTATTTATCATAATTAGCACCATAGTACTTCCTTTTTGCCACATACTTTACAATTACTCCATAGATTGAACGTTTGCAAAAGTCAGTTAGGAAAATAATTGGATTCTGCATGGAAATTCTTACCTTAAAACTCTTTTATTTATGAAGGCTTCTTTAATGAATACCTAAAATGTATCAAGCCCTGTACTTAGTGCCGGGAATGCCAAGATTAATGAGGTATCTTACCTGTACGAAAGAAGTATAGCAAAGAATTTAGAAGTCTGGGGATAAGGGAAGGGTCCTGAAGCAGATAATTGCTATATTAGATTTAAAGAATTATCAGGAATTAACTTGGTCTAGGTAGGGAGTTTCTGGAGGGAAGTGAAAAGACAAAGTGAATCCCAAGTAGAGAAGATAACGTGAGCAAAGTCATGGAGGTAGGACACTGCATGGTTTGCAAAGGATAACAACAAGAATTTCAGTGTGGCTGGAGTGAAATTGTGACTGGTAAAAGATGGAGATGAACCAGTAAGTAGAAACCAGACCACACTTACAATAATAAGGAGCTTCAGTATCCTACAAGAAATGGAAACCATTGAAGAACTTTAAATGAGATATGACATAATCAGATTTGTGTTGTGAGTAGTTTAGCTTTGATGCTCCTTGGATGACAGATTTTAATGGGACAGATGAAAGGCAGAAAATTTAGGCAGTAGCTACTGTTTTAGTTAAAAGGTATAAGGTCATAACAGTGAGGATGAGGAAGGAAAGGTTTCATAAAACATTTATGCCGTAGAAGTAGCAGAACTGGCACTTGAATAATTAATAATCGAGGCCATGCAGTTGAGAGAAGTGGGTACTGAGAAAAAGGATGGAATCAAGGACACCCTCAGAATTTCTAACTTTAATGATGGATTGAGAAGTAGTGTTACTCAGTGAGGTAAAAATAGAACCCACATGCTTAAGAAGATGATGAGTTAGACATACTGACTTTGAGATACCTGTAAAATGTCTAAATAATTAAATATGCAAGCCTGAAGCTTGTGGGAAAGGACTAGATTATTAGGTCGTTAACATTGAGATGATTACTAAGATATAAGGAGAAGATATTTCTCAGAAAGATAGAGTTGGAAAAAGAAAAAAGCAAACAAGGTGAGGATAAACCCTAAGTCTATTAATATTTAAAGCTTTGGCAAACGATACTAATCAGGAATCAGAAAAGAAGGGATCATAGGGACATAAATAAACCCAGAAAAGCCTAGTGTTGAGGATGTCAAGAGAGTAAGGAGTTTGAGGAAGAAGAGAATAATGGAGAGTGGCAATTGAGAGTAGTAACTGACCTCTAATCTTATTCAGAGGTCACTCTTCTATGCCCCCAACAAGTCATATGCATGTCTTTGATATTCACTTTCAAATTGCATAGTAATCAACACTTTGTCTGAGTACTTTATGTTGTTGTATTTTGTTTGTTTTATTTTTGTTTTTTTGAGTTGGAGTCTCACTTTGTTGCCCAAGCTAGAACACAATTGAAAAATATCCAATAGAGCAGGAAATAGGAAGTCAACTTCCAATAGGAAGCCAGTGATAAATAGGGAAAACTTCCACAGAGTGATATGGAGTGGAAGCCAGACAACGAGAGCTGGCTAGTGAAAGGAAAGTCAGCAAGTAGGAGCAGCTAACTTAGAATATTATTTCAAAAAAGGAAGGAAAAAGAAAGATGGGAAGGCAGTCTAATGGTTGGTAAGGAAGCATAAAGCAGAGCTAACAAAATCAATAAAGAGGGAGGGTATATTTTTGTTGTTTTAATGAATTCTGCAAGTTTCATTTCATGACAGAGAATAGATTTTACTAAGTTTCGTGCTCTAGGATTAAAAAGTATATAATATGACATTTTGTCTTAAGTTCATGCCAATTACAAAGTATGCTCGGAGCATTTGTACTGTGGTTAGATATTGTATTCATGATGGTCAGATGAGTCTGTTTCCTTTTTTCTCCAGAATCCTGCTATCAGTATTGAAGTGACCTGCATTGATTTATTACAAGTAGAAGGACATAATTTGATAGCTGCTGGAACCTTGAATGGTGTGATCATCTTATGGAATTTTGTAACATCTTGTGTCAAAGAAGTGTAAGTTGTGTCTTTTCCTTAAAAAAATGTAAAAATTGTACTACAGAAGAGCCAAAGTAACATGCAGTACTCGAAAAGAAAAAAAAAGAGCAATAAGTAAAAGTGGTGGTCAGGTGCAGTGGCTCATGCCTATAATCTCAGCACTTTGGAAGACTGAGGTGGGAGGATTGCTTGAGCCCAGGAGTTCAAGACCAGCCTAATCAACATAGTAAGAGATCATCTCTACAAAACAACAAAAAGTTAGCCAGGTAAGGTAGTGCACACTTGTAGTCTCAGCTACTTGGGACACTAAGGTGGAAGGATCTCCTGAGCCCAGGAGGTCAAAGCAGCGGTGAGCCCTAATCGTGCCACTGCATTCCAGCCTGGGTAACAGAGTGTGAGATGCCACTTAAAAAAAAAAAAAAAAAGGAAGGATGGTGTTAGCTCTCAAGGGAGACTTCCCTGGAGGTTATATGCCTGAAGACACTATGTTGTAAGTGTCTAATTCCAAGAATGATATGAACAAGGTGAATCTTAAGTATCTGTATTCCTAAGAGCTTTGACCCTTACTCTTCTCACACTAGTATACACTTTTTGGGTATGATCTTGTCCAAATTTATGATCTTCACAAATACTTAAAATACTCAATAAGCCGGGCTCGGTGGCTCAGCCTGTAATCCCTCGCCTTTGGGAAGCTGAGGTGAGTGGATTGCCTGAGCCCGCGGGTTTGAGACCCGCCTGGGCAGCGAGACCTCATCTCTACAATAAATCAAAAGTCAGCCAGGGCGTGGTAGCGCACGCCTGTAATTCCAGCTACTCGGAAGGCTGAGGCGGAAGGATCGCCGGAGCCCAGCAGGTCGAGGCTGCGGTGGCTGGGAGTGGCCACTGCACTCCAGTCTGGGCGACAGAGTGAGACTCCAACTCAAAAAAAAAGAAAAAAAAAAATTACTCAATAATTTCAAACGCTAATCTTCAAATACACAATCCAACCACCTACAGCCAACTTCCATTGAGTTTGCTACCAAGACATTTAAGGTCCCACCTGCATAAAACTTCTTGCCAACCTACCCTTCCTAAACTTCTTTTCTTCCTATATTCCCCACTTCCACCTGTTCAGTCACCAAAGTCAAATGGTGAGAGGCATCTCATTGGCTTTTCCTTCTCATTTACCACCCCAACAAATCCAATTATTACAAGGGCCCATGTGGCAGATACAATTCTACATCTCAACAAATTAGATTTGTCTTGTACCATAGCCAAAATCTTTACCCTCCCCCTGCCAACCATTTCTAACTGTTCTCGGCATTGGTTGCAAAGGAACTAATGTAACATTGAATTACTTGGATGGAAGGATTGTAAATAACAAGCTCTTCCCAGTTGTATAACTAGAATGTGTGCAAGGGCCATGTGTGAAAACGCTATATCGAGGGAGTTTGTAAAAACTTACTTTGATATACAAGATGGCCAAAAAGATTAACCAAAAAATGAAAATAAGATCAAGGGCCAAGCTCATGCCTGTAATCCCAGCACTTTGGGAGACCAAGATGGGAGGACTGTCAGGCCCAGGAGCTCAAGACCAGTCTAGATAACATAGCAAGACCTCATCTCTAGAAAAAAAAAATAGCCAGGTAGTCCGGTAGTCCCAGCTACTCAGGAGGTTGAGGTGAAAGGCTCACCTGAACTCTGGAGGTCCAGGATGCAGTGAGCCATGAGCGTGACACTGCACTCAAACCTGGGTGACAGAGTGAGACCCTGACTCAAAAACAAAAAAGAAAGAAATGTTTTCTATGGATTTGGGGGAAGATAAGCTATATATACATATATAGGGAAGAACCAAAGTGGGGGGGAGAGAGAGAGAGAGAGAGAGAGAGAGAGAAGAGAGAGTTGGAAAGGATACAGAAAAGAAAAGGGAAATACAGAACTCTCTGCCTCTCTATTTACAATATCTTACATACTCCTAGAGTACTTGGACCCCATGCCCCTTCCCGTCTAGGTCTAAGTTATTACTTTTAACAAACCTTTGAGAATCAGTAATCCTTTCTTGTTTGGACTCTTGGTTTATTCTCTATGAATCTTTAGTAGAAATAGCTGTTTCTGTAGATCCTTCTCTCTGCACCTCACCCCATATCCTCCTGGATCCTGCCCCTAGAATTCCTGTCCTCCTTCTGTTCCTTCTCTTCAACCCTTGTCCTGAGGCTTTTCTCACAGACTGTATACTGGTCATTTGATGTATATGCACTGCACACTTCCTCACCCTCTTGTTAATGCAGTTCTTACACTATGTCAGCTTATGTATGACTCACTATAAGAAGGGAAAGCAGATAGACTAAAAAGACCATAGTCTTGATCCCATAACCTAAAGAGGGGACAACTCTCCTGAGAATAACCCCAATTGAAAAGTGGACAACTCCTTTATTGAAGTGCCAGACATTCCGCCAAGAGATGCATGCAAATTCAACACCCAATCAGAAAAACAGTTAACCATAGTGGATCATACATAGTGTCTCTTTTCTATAAGCAGATGATTATGCAAAAACAATTGATTTAGAATCACTGCAGGATTTTTCAAAACATATAATTTAGCACAGAAGCGTGTAAGGTAATTGAGACCCAGCTTTAAAGGTTCTAGAATTGAAAATAGTTTCATATTCATGGCAGAGGCCATTTCAATGTCTACCTCAAAGTCTGCCTAATACCCCTACACCAAAAAAGGAGAAAAAACCCTTCTCTTTCTATTCTAAGCCACATGTTTTTTGGATCCCAAACTTATCATTCTTGAAGTTAATACTTCACTTCCCCATTTAGCTCATCTGCAAAACAGAATATCTGGTTTTTTTAAAAAAATGAAACAACAAGTCATCAAGCTCACAGAGTTCTCTTTTGAGTTTCACTTTTCAGGAAATTCCTTCATCATTTATCAGGTCAAATTAGCAGAAGTCATTTCCACTAGAGAAAATGGGGTACTTTGCTATAAGGTCTATTTGCTATAAGGAATGTTAAACGTGGCTTTATGAGCCAAGCACGAAGTGTAATTGCAGGTGTTAGGGATGGTTGCTCTTTCCCAGGAAACTGCCTAGGAAGGTGTATGGTTCCTTGTAATCTGGGACAACAGGAGACTGGAGCAGCAAGAGCAGTGCAATCACTGGATGACCTGTTTGTCACTCGATTATAAGCTCCTTGGAGGTAATGACCATATTTCGTTCAAAGTTGTCATTCCACTTGTTCAAAGAGTAGAATTCTATTCTTTAAACTATATGAAACCTCCAGGAGGTTCCTCCACAGAATTTCATAAGCCCATTCTCTGACCATTCTTTATAACATGTCCATTACTGGTTCAGAAGCCTTTTAACTCAACTAACTCTAGACCAGTTAGTTGAGTTAAAAGACTTCTCAAAGAATGGTCATGTTATAAAGAATCTTACTAAGGAAGATATGTTCAAACGCTCCTCCTCTGGGTTTTCTTCATGCTCAATGGCATCTAAATGTGAGGAATTGATTAGTCCTTCAGGAAATATGTAATCTAGGTACTGTAAGCTACCTAATCTGTGAGTTTTTATCATGTAAACCTATACCTATTTCCAGGTACCGACCTGAAGATTGCTCCACTGGGGATCCTGACTTGGATCCCAAGCGCTTTAGAATTAATGACATACTGTTCCTCTTTCGCACCCCTGAATGTGCAAGGTAACTCAAATAAGTGTGGATGCTATAAAAACAATGATCTTCCTTCCCACATTAAGGAAGAGATAGCTGAAGTAAGACATAAACTGGGCCGACGACTTGACTTCAGCTGTCTTTTTGTAGGTGGGGTAGTCATGAGGATAACCTCACAGTACCCTTTACAACTGTAGCAGAAAATGCTCACTTGGCCATATTTTTAGGCAAAATCGAACACTGCAAGCACTGATGTGAAGCAGAAGGAAGGACTTGCACAGCAAGTATGGAAGATCATTTGGCAGGAGATCTCACATACCATTTACTGTAACTGAGCAATCTCCATCCATGTCTGAGGGAGCAGGGGACTGTTTTTTAAGTACTTAAGAAAAAGCATTTTTTCCGATTAATATTAGCTTGAGAGTGCTGTTTTGCAGGCGATATGCAATGTCAGATATATCACACAAACAAAGAACTGAATACCACATCTCACTCATAAGCGGGCCCTGAACAATGATCATCGCACTATAAGAAAGGGATTGGCAGTAACGAGACACTGCCAGGGGAGGGAGGGGCACACCTCATCACTAAGGGTACCTGATCTCAAACCAGGTGAAGGGGGGACCAAAGGGAGGCCCAAACTTTACCAGCACAACGGCCATTTGTATACCTACTCCTGAGTTGTATTCCACATCTGTAAAATAAAACAAAAATATTTTTAAAATAAAAGATAAAAGTTTCTGTGCTAGTTTTGGGTTACCCAGACAAAACATTTTTCCTACTCCTTGGCTTGAAATTTCATCCTATTTCTAGAATGTTTTGAGGACTGGTTTACATGATCTACATCAGCACCCCACACCACTTTTCAGTTCAGTTCAGCAGAGCCCTGCAGAGACAGGATCAGGCCAGAAGAGCAGGCCTATAGAGCAGGAAGTTAGCCAGGTTTGTAAAATCCTGCGCTGCCACCCTACTCCCTGCCATTTCATTGTAAGAGCCTCTAGGACTAAATCCAGCCTTAGCAGTGGGATGTGCTAGACTTTTAACTTCCAGGCCCAAACAGCAATAAACTTTATTTGCTGAGGCTCCACAAAAGTCTCCTCCAACACCATATTGATGAACATTTTCTATACAAAATATAGGGTGCACTTTGTTTCACAAATGAATGACTCAGGGTCCATAGACGATAAAAGAACCAATCAACTGAAATTAAAGCAGAGAAGAGCACCCTTTGAATATGAATATCTTTTCATCTTTGGGCTTTCTCCCTCTCCTTGTAGGAGATCAAGTCAGGATTCCATATGCTCTTCTTCCCAGTGTGACTCAAGCAAGGGTCCACAGAGTAGCAAGGTAAGTAAGACACAGCGAGAGTATCTCTTTCTCTCACACTCAGTGTCAATGTTGTTTTAAAAATAATGATCAAGGCCAGGCACAGTGCTTCATGCCTATAATCCCAGCACTTTTGGAGGCCGAGGTAAGGGGATTGCCTGAGCCCACAAGTTTGAGACCAGCCTGGGCAACTTGGCGAGACCTAGTCTCTACAATAAATTAAAAAATTAGCCGGGCGAGGTGGCACATGCCTGCAGTTCCAGCTACTTGGAAAACTGAGGCAGAAGGATTGCTTGAACCCAGCAGGTAAAGGCTGCAGTGGCCAGGAGCGTGCCACTGTTATCCAGCCTGGGTAACAGAGTGAGACTCCTACTCAAAAAAAATAATAAATAAAAATAAGAAATAGTGATCATGAGCATTTGAGCCCTGCCTTTGCTAGAAAGAAAAGGTGAAAAAATTCTGTGTGTATACATCTACATATAAAAACTTTTTTGTTTTATCAAAACATCAATGTCTAAATTGTTTTCTTCAATCTTTTTCCTCTTTTTTCAAAGCTTTTACATCTGTGAATAACCAATACATGATCATGAATAAAACAAATTATGCACATTATTTTCACATTTGTAAAATAATAAAGTAATTTTAGACTATCTCTTGCTAATAAGTATTATACATATTTCCCAAGAAGAAGAAGAAAGCAGGTATTGTAACTACATTGCAACATATAATGTAATGCAATGTTTTGAACTGTTCTCAGTTCCAATTTTATATATTTTTACACAGTACATTTCTAGTTAGGATTTTGGCTGAAGGAAAGTTTTCACTGTGAAAACTATTTTCAAATTTCATGGTGGAAAGAATAAACTTAGTGAACATAAAAACCAGACCAACTTGTACTTGAATCCGAGTCCCCCAATTATTATCTAATTAGCGTCAGCAGTGTCACTTAATCTGAGTTTCTATGTCCTCATCAGTAAAAAGGGAAAAATAAACACTAGGTTGCATGGTTGTCAATAGAATGAAAGATCATGTACACTAAGAACTGGACATGCATTTGACTTTTAATTACTCTAATTGTTATACTGAACTTTAGCCACTAGAAAAATGTTGTTATGGATTCTCTATTTTTGGACATGAAAATCTCTGCAATACAGTTTACAAAAAACAAATTTTAAAGTAATTTAAAAATTAATGCTTAGAAATGCAAATTCAGCTGTTTGGAGAATTTATGCATCCAGTATATCTCATTTCCTTACAATGTCATTAATTATTTTTCCTTTTTCTCCTCTAATTCAGGGAAGCAAGCAAAGCATACCTGACAGTGAGGTTAAAGGTTGGTATGGATCTCTCTTCTTTATAATAAAACAACTTATTTGCAACAAGGGGTTTAAGTGACAGAAATCTTTTAATGACTGTATGCTCTTTTTGTGATCAAATGTTGAGATGCTATAGGATTCAGTAGTCCAAGAGGCAGAATTTTCATTATGATGATGCCTTCTTAAATACCCATAGTAAGTTTTAAGAATCCAAAATGTTACTGAGTTTCTTAGTCGCCAGTCCATTTTTCCAGTATTGGATTTATAAACCATTCTAGTTGTGTAAGACTTATGGATAAGCATCTAGTTTTAGATGTTATATACGGTATAGAGACTTTTGCAATACATCTAAAAGTAGGCTCTTAAAATTTTTCCAGTGATCCAGGATTCAATTTTTCAAATTTGAAGTCTCACTCTGTCGCCCAGACTGGAGTATAGTGACACAGTCATGGCTACTGCGGCCTCCACCTGCTAGGCTCAGGCGATCCTTCCACTTCAGTCTTCCAAGTACCTGGAACCACAAGCGTGCCACCACACCCGACTACTTTTTTTGGCTTATTGTAGAGATGAGGTCTCGCCAAGTTGTGCAGGCTGGTTTCAAGACCCTGGGCTCAGGCAATCCCCTCGTCTCTGCCTCCCAAGTGCTGGGATTACAGGCATGAGCCACTGCACCCAGCTAGAATTCCATTTTTTAATGCCTTTTTTTCCCCTACCCTGATTGAAGTTCTCTGGGGTTAAAAAAAAATTGTAGCAAAAGAATGCATTGTTTTTGCTGTTTTCCTGCCTGCCTCCTCTTTAGCTTTCCAGATAATTTGGAATTCCAAGTATTGTCAATTTCATGGTGGTTCATCACTTTCTCCAATAGGTGAACAAACAGATGTCATGGTGGGAGAGCAACGGCCAGTGGACAAAAAGCAACTCAGAGATAACAACCTACCAGAAACTCAGCCACCTATCCTTGTCACCGCTCATGAGGACGGACACCTCCGCTTGTGGACTCTAGAGGTGATGGAGCCCAGTAATTCTGAAATTAGGAAAGAATGAGAAGATAAATAGAATAATCAGATGAATCTTGGCCTTCTTCCATATGGCATCCAATTCTAATATTTTTCAACCTTCTAGCCAAATTGCTGGTTTTGCAACCTGTGCACTGATAATGCTACTCAAACCGTTCACGAGTCCAGTTTTGTTACTTAAGAGATCAAGTCATCAAAACTGCTAACTTAGCTATTTCAAATCCTTCTTTTAAGTTGAGCTGTTACTATACACCACTACCTAGTTTATTGGACATTTAAATAATATTAAAGGCTATTAATTGTGTATTATAGTAAAAGAATATATTAAGGTTGAAATGTTAAGTATATGGTATATTTTTAGTTCACTAAACTCTAGGAAGAAGGTATTACATCATATTGAATGTCCTTAAGTATTTTACAAAGAAAAAAATAACTTTCACTTACCAGAAGATTTCCAACAACTGATGGTGGGATTAGAGTGGATGATGAAAGGAAGAATCTGGAGTAGCCTGGGAATGATGACAACGAAATCCTTGGAACAGCAGAGGAGTGTCCTCACATGTGTTAAGGCTCCTTCCTACAGCAAAACTCAGAAAACAGCAACAGTTTTGTAGGGCAGATACTGTAATGGGATCCAAAAATAGAGAATAGCATAGTTGTCTGCCAGATAAAACTCCAAGTCTCCCCCAGAGCCCCAGAGTCAAAGCCAGTTCCCAGCCTAGTCCTGTTCCACAGTCTCCTGCCTCCTCTTTCCTTTCAATATGACAGATGCTGCTGTGTCCTTCGCCAAGGACTTTCTGGCAGGTGGAATGGCGGCGGCCATATCCAAGACTGCGGTAGTGCCCATCGAGCTGGTCAAGCTGCTGCTGAAGGTTCAGCATGCCAGGAAGCAAATCACTGCAGATAAGCAATACAAGGGCATTATAGACTGCGTGGTCTGTATCCCCAAGGAGCAGGGAGTCCTGTCCTTCTGGCGTGGTAACCTGGCCAATGTCATCAGCTACTTCCCCACCCAGACTCTCAACTTTGCCTTCAAAGATAAATACAAGCAGATCTTCCTGGGTGGTGTGGACAAGAGGACCCAGTTTTGGCGCTACTTTGCAGGGAATCTGGCATCAGGCAGTGCCGCTGGGGCCACAGCCTTGTGTTTTGTGTACCCTTTTGATTTTGCCCATACCCGTCTAGCAGCTGATGTGGGTAAAGCCGGAGCTGAAAGGGAATTCAGAGGCCTCGGTGACTGCCTGGTTAAGATCTACAAATCTGATAGAATTAAGGGCCTGTACCAAGGCTTTAATGTGAATGTGCAGGGTATTATCATCTACCGAGCTGCCTACTTCCGTATCTATGATACTGCAAAAGGAATGCTTCCAGATCCCAAGAATACTCGCATCATCATCAGCTGGATGATCGCACAGTCTGTCACGGCCGTTGCTGGGTTGACTTCCTATCCATTTGGCACTGTCGTCACTGCATGATGATGCATTCCGGGCACAAAGGAACTGATATCATGTACACAGGCACACTTGACTGCTGGAGAAAGATTGCCCGTGACGAAGGAAGCAGAGCTTTTTTCAAGGGTGCATGGTCCAACGTTCTCAGAGGCATCGGTGGTGCTTTTGTGCTTGTCTTGTACGATGAAATCAAGTACACATAAGTTATTTCCCAGTTTTCCCCCTGTGAACAGGCATGTTGTGTTATGTAACATAGTTTGAACATTCTTGACAGACCCATGGCTGTCTATCAATGGCATCTATTTACTGGTTGAAAATGGGAAGCAATAATATTCATTTGACCAGTTTTCTCTTAAAGCCATTTCCATGATGAGGATGATGGGACTCAATTATATTTTTTATTTCAGTCATTCCTGATAAATAACAAGTTTGAAGAAATAAAAAGATTGTAAATACAAAAAAAAACAACAAAACCTCCAAGTCTATCACTAGACCTTAGCTTATTAGAAAAACAGAAAACAAACAAACAAAAAAAACTTCTGGCTTAAAAAGACAAGATAGTCTAACAGTAACTTTCCCTGAGATGATCTTGGTATTACTGCAATGTCTTTTTTTCGGACAGATAAATAAAGAGTGGAAGTAACAGGAGGGGAAGAGATTATATCCAAGTAAAGGCTCAGGAAACTAGCAGCCAATTCAAACTCTTTCTTCTCAACTTATATGTTTATTCTCTAAGTAGGATAAAATGTTTGAAAGTCCTTTCCAGTGCTGGCTTGTACGAAGCACTAAAAAATAGTCTTACACCTCTTATCTTGTATCAATATTCAAAAATAAATACTTCTGAAAAGACCAATATTCAATTTTAAAACAATGGCTATCCACCTTTAAATGTTTGCTTAAAAGGAGAATATATAATTAGAAATAATGTTTGAGAACCTGCGTGAAAAGGGTCACAGAAGGTGCAAAAACAGCCCCTACTATAGAGATATAGTATAATAATCAGAGTCTAGATACTTATAACTAGCAGTTGTCTGTAGCTTCACAATATGGTATTTCATTTCAAGGAAATAAGTCTCTATGGATAGCTTCAAATTATTTGTACTACAAAGAAGAGAATCATGTTTCAGAAGTAAAGGTAACTCTTGAGATGTATTATTTATTGAAAAAATCATTTTAAATATTAAGATTTTATAAAATGTATTATTATAGAAAAAGCCTTATTTGTCTTATATTTTAGGGAAGACTACTGAAAGATATGCTACCTTTCACAAAACATTCCGCCATTTCTCTGACATCGCTGTATACTGATTCATGTACCAGGATACTACTGGCTGGAAATGTGGGTGAGTCATTACTCTTACTCATATATATTCAGTCACAGGCAACTTAAAAACCTACATGTTATAAAAATGGCTTTAGAAAAAATACATGGTATTTGTTGAGACAAAAGAATGACTAAGAGGTATGCACAAGCATGAGAGAGTTTTATGAATAACCTGCTGAATAAATAGAAGAATAAATAAATGTCAGGAGAACCCATTTCATTCATAGCTCTTTATTTAGAGTAAGGCATTCTATTCTTCCATCATTAAAATGAACGTATTTCTGTTCCCATATCTCACATTTTTGAGAAGAATAAAAAGTTTTAATTTTTAATGTCGAAGGTTATGTGGCATTCATCTTCACTAATAAAAACAGTAGGAAGAATAGGAAGAAAATGGATTATTTGTTCTCAGTAGGGGACTTCATGTTATATTTGTTACAATTAATACTATTGGTCTTAATTCTTTCATCTGATATGATTCTTTCTTTAAATTATTCCTTTCTGTTACTTTTCTTCTGTCTTTTGAATTTTATTTTTATATCTCCCATATTTTGAAGGATTATGTGAGTATGCAGATATAAAAATCAGTTTCTAACTTTTCTAATGTTTTAAGTTTTTCAAAACAACCAATCTTTTAGAATCAGAATAAAACAACATCTTTACAGTTAAAACAGAAAAGTTAGCTCACTTTCTTTCCCTTTTCTCCATACCCACCCCTTTGCTGATTGCTGTTTGCAAATGTCAGCTTGAGATTTCTATCCATATTAGATCTGCTATTACATTAAACTTAAATTTTTTTGTTTTCTCTTTTAAGAGCATTTTTCCCGTTTCGAAATTTATTTTATAAAAGTAGCAACAAACCATTTTGTGTTGTCAATTATTTGAGTCTTCTGGACATTATTGAGAGTTACTGTTTATATTTTCATTCAGTATTATCAGTAAATTTGCAACATTTATTTAAAGTTATCTCTATTTTATCTGGTTTTATTGCTTACCGACAGTCTGTCATTTTTATTCTTAACATATTGCCATTTATCTATCAATCTCTGTAATTTATATAGATACCATTTTTATTTAAAACAGAATAGAAGAGAAAACTTAGGAAAATCTTGTTCCGTTTTATGAAAGAATGCTGGCTCATTCTTTCATTAACTTTGCCTGCTATGTGGTTAGCCTTTTCTAACAAAATACATGTGCTAAAATTTGAAACTACAGAATTTCTAGAACATGCCTCTATTAGGGTTATTCCTTTCTTTGCCTCTGCCCAGAACACTTTTCTATTATATAGCCCATTCTTATCCTAAGATTTGTATTTTTTGCCTATGATCCTTGAAAAATAGAATGGGATCCTTAAAAAATTGTTTGGGATCCAATCCATCCTCATCAACATTATAAATTATGTAGACTTCTAGATTCTGGCCTTAGGCATTCTTTTTCTATGCCTTGGTAGATGTTAAAATAACTTCTCTGGAGGTCGCTATCTGGTTATATTTCAATCAGGCATCCTCAAACATCATTAGTTGCGGCTTTTCTTTTTTAATAGGTTTTATTTTTTAGAGCAGTTTTAGGTTCACAGAAAAATTGAGCAGAAGGGACAGAGTTTTCATATTACACCTCTCCCCCTCCCCCTCCAACAAACACACACATCTCCTTCTCTATCAATATCCTGCCCTACAGTGATACTTTTGTTACAATAGATGAAGCTACATTGGCTCACCACTATCACCCAAAGTCCCTAGTTTACATTAGGTCTCACTGTGGATGTTAAACATTTTAAGTTTCAAAAAATTTATGACATGTTTCCACCATTGTAGTATCACCAGAATAGTTTGACTGCCCCCCAAATTCTCTGTTCTGAATATTCGTTCCTCCCTCCCCTCAACCCCTGGCAACCATTTTCTTCATAGTTTATTTCATTTAGTACTATTCAAGTTCCTCGTATGGTTCCATGGCTTGACAGTTCATTTCCTTTTAGCACAGAATAATATTCCACTGGCTAGATGTACCATAGTTCGTTTATTCATCCACCTACTGAAGGACATCTTAGTTGTTTCCAAGTTTTGCCCATATGAATAAAGCTGCTATAAACATCCATGTATAGGTTTTTATGGAGACATGAGTTTTCAACTCCTTAGGATAAATGCAAAAGAGTGTGATTGCTGGATCATATGGCAAGAGTATATTTAGTTTTTTAAGGAACTGTCAAACTGTCTTCCAAAGTGACTGTACCATTCTGCATTCTCATGAGTAATGAATGGCGGTTCCTGTTGTTCCACATCTTCATCAACATTTGGTGTTATCGGTATTCTGGGTTTTGGTCATTCTAATAGGTATGTAGTGGTGCCTTGTTTTAATTTACATTTCCCTAATGACATTTGATGCGAAACATCTTTTCATATGTTTATTTTCCAACTATGTATCTTCTTTGATGAGGTGTTGTTCAGATATTTTGCCCATTTTTCAATCAGGTTACTCATTTTTTTATTGTTGAGTTTTAAGATCCCTTTGTATATTTTGGACAACAGTTCTGTATTAGATAAATCTTCTACACATATTTTCTTCCAACCTGTGGTTGTCTTTTTGTTCTCTTACCAGTGTCTTTCTCAAAGCAGAAGTTTTTTATTTTAATGAAATCAATTTTGTCAATTGTTTCTTTTATGGATAATGCCTTTGGTGTCATATCACTAAACTCAAGGTCATCTAGAATTCCTTCTCTGTTATCTTCTAGAAGTTTTATAGTTTTGCCTTTTAATTCTATGATCCATTTTGAGGTTTTTTTTGTTGTTGTTGTTGTTTTGTAAAGGATGTAAGGTCTGTTTCTAGACTGAGTGTTTTCTCATGAGTGGGTATTGGATTTTGTCAAATGTCTTTAACTGCATTTATTGATAAAATCATGTGATTTTTCTTCTTTATTCTGTTGATGTGATGGATTGCGTCAATTGATCTTCAAATGTTAAATCAGCCTTGTGTATTTAAAATAAACCCCACTTGATCATGGTGTACAATGTTTTTATACTTTCTTGAATTCAATTTGCTATTCTGTTGAGATTTTTGCATCCATGTTTAGAAGAGATATTGGTCTGTAGTAATTTTTGTTATTGTTTCTTGTAATGTCTTTCTCCAGTTTTCATATTAGGATAGGGCTACTCTCCTAAGATGAGTTAAGAAGTATTTCCTCTGCTACTATATTCTGAAAGATACTGTAGAAATTTAGCAAAATTTCTTTCTTAAATGTTTGTTAGTATTCACCAGTAAATCCATCTGGGACTGGTGCTTTCTGTTTGGGAAGATCATTACTTATTGATTCAATTTATCTAATAAATATAGGGCATTTCAGATTGTCTCTCCCTTCTTGTGTGATTTTTGGCAGATTATGTTTATCTCGAATTGGTCCATTTATCAAAATTATGGGCATAAGGTTCATGGCATTTCTTTCTTATCCTTTTAATGTCTATAAGAGCTATAGTAGTATCCTCTTTTCCATTTATGATATTATTACTTGTGTCTTCTCTTTATTTTTGTTAGGTGGCCTGGCTAAAGTTTTATAAATGTTATTGATCTTTTCAAACAATCAGATTTTGGTTTTATTTATTGTCACTATAGATTTTCTGTTTTTTCAACTTTACTGATGTCTACTCTAATTTTCACTAAGCCTCTTTCTCTGCTAACTTTGGATTTAATTTGCTATCTTATTTCTATTTTTCTAAGGTAAAAGCTTAGATTGTTGATTTTGGATATTCCTTCCTTTCTAATATATGCATCAGTGTAATTTTCCACATGAGCACTACTCTTACCTTATCCCATAAATTTCTATAAGTTGTAATTTCATCTTTCTCCAAGTATGAGGGGTTACCCCCCAAAATGGAATTTATTTATTAAAAATTGTGTATTTATTCTTTCATGTTTAAACTTCAATTGCCTTTAAAGTACTCTCTGTTTGATGCAATGCTTCTATCAAGACACTTTTTCCACTGCCCAAAATAGTTTTGAACTCTTCAATTTTGATTCATTTTGGTGCTTCTGCCATTTTTTGTTTCGCCTCTTTCATGTTGGTAGAATGTTTCCCACTGAGTACTTTTTTTTATCCAAGGAAACAAACAAACAAAAAAAGTCTCTTAGGGCAAGACTGAGTCAATAGGGAGGGTAGGGCATGGGGGCGTCATGCCATTTTTGGTCAAAAATTGCTGAAAATTCAGTATGTTGTGGGCAGGTGCACTCGTAAATTATCGATCATAAAATGGGTAATATGTTGAAAAGAATCTCCAAAAAAAATTCACTGACGCCAAATGCAGCGTCTCACAACACTATCTGGTATTCTGATGCCAATGAGTTCCTAGAACACTAACCTGGCAGGGGAAGCCTGTACCACAAGGGGCCCACCCTCCAAAAAGCAATTCATTTTTTGAGGGGGTCTACTTTGTATTTGGAAATTTTCTAATTATCTTTCTGTTACTGATGGCTACTTTAATTCTACTGTGGTCCAAAATAATACATTTTATGATTTCTATTCTTTTAAATTTGCAGAGGTGTGCCCTATGACCCAGAATGTGGTCTGCCTTGGAGAATGTTCCATGTGATCTTAAGAAGAATGTGTATTCTTCTGATGTTGGATGAAGTCATCTATAGATGTTAATTATATTCAGTTAATTGATGATGTTGTTGAGTTTAACTATATCCTTACTGATTTTCTGCCTGCTTGGTCTATTTCTGATAGAAGAATGTTGAAGTCTTTGATTATAATAATGGATTCATCTATTTATCCTTGTAATTGCATCAGTTTTTGTCATATATTTTGTTACTCTGTTGTTAGGGGTATACACATGAAGAATTACTATATCTTATTTGAAAATTGATACTTTTATCATTAGCTAATGCCCCTCTTTATCCCTAATAATTTTTCTTGCTCTGAAGTTTCCCTGTCTGAAATTAATATAGCTATATCTGCTTTCTTTTCATTAGTTAGCATGTTATGTATCTTTTTTCATCCCTCTACTTTTAATCTATATGTATGTATATTTAAAGTAGGTTTCTTGAAGACATGTAGTTAGGTCATGTTTTTGATCCACTCTAGCAAGCTCTTTCTTTTATTTGGTGTATTTAGACCATTGACATGTAAAGTGGTTATTGACGTAGTTGAATTAATATCTACCATATTTGTTACCGTTTTGTGGTTATTGACATAGTTGGATTAATAACTACCATATTTGTTACTGTTTTAAGTTGTTACTGTTTTTATCCTCCACTCTTTTCCCACCTTTTGTGGTTTTAATTAAGCATTTTGTATGACTATATTTTCTCTCCTTTTATAGCATATTAATTATACTTATAAACTTTTTAAAGTGATTGCCTTAGAATTTATAATATATACTTGCAATTAACCCATGTCCATTTTCGCGTGCCATTTTATGGGTAGTACAAGTTATCTATCTATCTATCTATACCAAAGTATTCTTAATTCTTCCCTCCTGACCCTTGCACAATTACTGTCATTCATTTTAAGTATTTAAAAGTTATAATCATCAAATGCAGTGTTAATGTTATTATTGTGTACAAACTGTTATCTGTGAGCACAATTAAGAGTTAAAAAAAAATGCCAGACATGGGGGCTCACAACTGCAATCCCAGTACTTGACTTGGGAGACTCACGTGGGCAGATTGTTTGAGCCCAGGAATTCAAGACCAGCCTGGGCAACATAACAAAACCTAGTTCCTACAAAAAATTGCCTGGTTATGGTGGTGTGTACCTGTAGTCTAGGGTTGCCGAGATAGAAAGATCACTCAAAAAAAAAAAGGAGAAGAAAAAGAAAAGGGTTTTTTTGGTCTTAATTTAGTTTTTACCTAATGTTTTTACTTTATTTAAGGAGATGTATGTTTTTGACCTATATCATTTTTCTTCTCTCTGAAGAACTTCTTTTACCATTTCTTATAAAGTAGGTCTACTGGTAGACAAATTCCCTCAGTTTTGTTTATCTGTGAAAGTCTTTTATTTCTCCTTCACTTGTGAAAGCTAATTTTGTAGGGTATAGGATTCTAGTTGAGAGTTATTTTCTCTCATCACTAAGTATTTCACTCCACTATCTTCTTGCTCAATTTTTTCTGATGAGAAATTTGGTGTAATTATTTTTTAATTTTTTCCCACCGGACTTTCTTCAATAATTTTAAAATTTATCTTTGTTTTCCTGCAGTTTTAAGTATGATATGTCCTGGTGTAGTCATCATTGCTTTTTGCTGTCTAGTTTTTATAACTATCATTTGAATTATAGGATGAATATATCTGTAAAAGTTTAGACTCAGTTTAGTAGTGGCATATTTATTTCTATTATCATTTAACCTGATTTCTAGAAGAACTTTAACTCTGAGTGACTAATATAACCTCATTAAAACTTCCTAAGGCAGAACCAAAATAATTACTATATAAATATTTACATGAAATTTCTGCTCTCATTTTTGGTTTTTTTTAATCCTATTTTATTTACCATTACAAATGCCTAAGTTAAAATAACTTGGAAGTTTGGGTAGTATTTATTTAGATAATCCAATATCTAATTGAAGATTCTGATGTTTAAATTTTATACAGAAGGACACATCATCCTTTGCACTATTAGTTCTTTCCTGGATCCACCTCATGATGAAAAGGTAAGAACTTTAGTTTTCCACTTTGATGAATCAGTACATATTTATTGAGCATTTCTCTGTGCTAAACACCACAAAAGAAAGAAATAAAAAACGTCCTACTTTCAAGGCACATATACTATTGAACATTAAGCTATATGACAAATAATAATGGTCTGCTGGTGGAAACAGGTGATGAATAAGTGATTGAGGGAAGGAGGAGAGAGTAAGTCAGCCACTGGTCACTTTTCATCTTCTTTATCTTTTGACTTTTTTGTGAGAATATATATAGCAACCCAGAGTTTAAAGAGTTCATAGATCATCTAGTTCTTCACAGTCAGTTTCTACATATTTTGCATCTTTATAAGACATTGCATAACCTTCCTTGCAAACTTAGTGCAGAACTATTCATGAAATTCTTTCTCATGTCTAGTTTAAATTCTCATTACAATTCAGGCACATTTTATTCTACATTAGGTTAGTGTTATATTAACAACACCAGTCTTATTTTATAAACATTTAAATATGAACTTATTGTGTTTATGCAGACATATAAATACAGAAAGTCCCCTACATACAAACCTTCAAGTTGCAAACTTTCAAAGATGCAAATGTCCATTCATATATCCAGTCACATAAGATAGTTCATGTGTCTGGTGTACACTTCATGTGCTATACTGTAAGATTAAAATATTTTCTTTATTTTTATGTTTTTTAATGTATTATTTGTATGAAAAGTTTTATAAACCTATTACAACACAGTACTATATAGCCAATTGTGTTAGTTGGGTACCTAGGCCAACTTTGTTGGATTTGCAAACCAATTGGACTTACAAACATGCTCTTGGAATGGAACTCATTCTTCTGTATGGGACTTACTGTGTATCTACATATATTACAGATGAAATCCCAACATAAAGATTGCACCAAGGAAAGACTATTTTAACATAACCTTATTTTCCTTTAAGTTAATACTTGAGATCCAAATGCTAAATATTAACTTAAATAGTAATGCTTTATTTTTGGATTACAGAGATTAACATATGGATATACTGATTATTGATGTGACTCCTTGCAGAGTGTCTTAGAAAAGTTACTGTTTCAAATATTATTTCATTAGATCAATGGGATTTTCTTTTGGTTTCAAAGAATCCATTCTAGCTTTTATATAGTTTGGGTATTCAACTTTAGTCTATCTTCACCTTGCAAGGGGTAAATCAGAGAATGACTTGCCTAGGAGTACATAGACAGTTAATGATAGATTCAAGGCCAGAACCAGGGTTTTTTTTTCTCTAATTCAGTACTCTTCCCATACATAACACTTATGATATCAAATGGAAAGCAATAAGGTTCAAACAACTTGTGAAACACTAAGTTTCATTTACCAAAAGCTATAAATTGACAATGATCAAAAATACTGAAAGCTGGAAAAAAACAAGTCAGATGCTTGAACCATGTATAGGTGAAAGTTTATCTTATTATTTTCTCCTTCTGGGAATGATTATTAATATTGTATTTTTAACTTAAATAGGTAAGAATATCATTTAAAGCCTACAGTTTTGCAAATAGGCTTTCTATAAACTAGCAACCAAGATATTTCAAATTTTCCAAAGAAAAAATTGTCCAAACAAAGTTATTAAATTATCCTGAGTTACAATAATAGTGGAAATGATTTTAAAGCATTTTTACCAATTTGAAGATAATCTATGTTAATAATGTATTTTAAATTCTTCCATATTCAATCTCATTTCAACCTTTTCAGTACTTGGGCAATGTTATTAACTAGTTTGAACATGGCTCCTATTTATAAATATACAACAGAACCATGGAACCTGGTTATAAAATGTCACAGTATTACTAAACTAGTAGGTACTAATATATTCAATCAGCTCCAACTATAGATTGCTACTGTAATGAAAACCTAATATGTCAGTCTAGAACCAGAAGTTGATCTTGTTATCTGCCAACATTACTGTTAAAAAGAAACTCTAGGAGATAAAAATAGATTCTAAGGATAGGATAGTCAAAACCTCTCCACAGAAAGAGAACCACACATATGATTATACATAACACATTCAGAAAAACAGTCATAGTACCTAATTGCAGATTGTAATACACTAAGGGATCATAAAAGGAATTAAATGTGCTTTCTTTGTAGAAAAAAAAAAAAAGTGCAATAGAATAGAAAAGATAATATTGGTGTGCATTTCACATAGTAAGGTAAATATCTTTTTGTGAAACTATATTTTTGTGAAACTTCAGATACATGTGCAGATGTATGTACAAGGGAGAATCCAAAAAACCCCAGAATTTATTTATAAAAAATTGTGTATTTATTCTTACATGTTTAAACTTGTCACCTTCAAAGTACTTTCAACTTGATGCAATACGTCTATTGAAATACTTTTTTACACTGCTGAAAACAGTTTTTGAATTCATCAATTTTGATGCCTTTTTGTGTTTCGGCCATTTTCTGTTTCATGTCTTCCACCTCGGCAAGACATTTCCCTTTGAGGACTTTTTTTCATCCAGCAAAAAAAAAAAAGGTGCTTGGGGCAAGATCAGGTGAACAAGGAGAGTGGCGTATGGGAATCATGCCATCTTTGGTCAAAAACTACTGAATACTCAGCACAGCATGGGTAGGTGTGCTCATAAATCATCCATCATAAAAATGGGCAAACGTGTTGAAAGAACCTCCAAAAAAAATTCACTGAAGCTAAATCCATCCTCTCATGACAACACTAGCTAGTACACTGATGCTGATGGGTTCCTAATATACTTACCTAGTGTGGAAAGCCTATACTACAAGGGCCCGGCCTCCAAAGGATAATTCTAGTTTCTTTGGGTCCCCTTTTATATGTGTTTACTTGCTCATTAAGTAAAATGTTCATCTTACCATAGATGTGGTCCTTGTTAGAAAAACACTTGCCTTAGAGAATGCCATCCTAAGACAGAAAAAGATATCTCGGAAACCAAATATTCTTCAATAGTTTTGAGATAATAACAAACAGGAGAATGCAGAAGATTTTACCCTAGCTTTTTATGAACAACCAAAGGGAACTGAATCACAAAGCCAAGAAATTTAGGTGGAATTGCACCTCACCTTTGTTAAAACTTAAATTAATAAGAGACTCATAGGAGAACTCCAAGCTGCCAGGACTCAGTCACACAATACTCCTAGGTAGATGACCAGAAATGAGTAATGTGTCAGTTGGGTTTGCCAGTGATAAAGAGGAAATATTCTCAAAGGGGGTGTTACTGCAGGGCAAGCTCTCCAGGTCAGTTGACAACTCTAGTTTACATAATTCAGGAATATGTCTTCTGAGGTCCATTGGGGTCCCTAAACTTGAGGATAAACCACATCTTGAAGAAATATAGCCAATCAAACCTTATGATGTTTTTGAAAGAAAACGAGCTGGGCTCAGTTTTTTTGTTAATTTATTTTTTTGTTAATTCCTTGTAGCACCCTCCAACCTCCCCCCCCCAAAAAAAAAAAAAAAATAGCCAGCGCTATCTCCAGAAAAAATCTGAAAATCAGAAAACTCCTTTTGCCAATCTCTCTTTTGGTTCTCACCTTCCAGCTCTGTTTCCTTCTATTACTGAATATATTCTCGATCAGTTTCCTAAGCAACCCTCTCCCAAGGCATTTCTTTCATCTGATCATCTACTTATTATCAACCAAATGAATTGTTAATCCTCAATTACACGATAAATTGCCAAAGACATAAACTACTTTCTCTCCCAGGGTTATGTGCAGATTAATAAATCTCTAAAAATGAGACTTTTAGTTGCCCAACAAGCAAGAAAGCTAATTGAGGGTAGGGACTTCATCATCTTGCACAGACATCTACACCATTTACTCTAAATGAATGCTGAGTACCTATAAACTTATCTCGAAGAAAAATGATTTTACTTAAGATTATATTTTGACCAGCATATATTCCTTCCAATGGATATGCCTTATTGTCGTTAACTAGAAATTCAAGCAGCGGCTCTCCTGGCGTGCTCATTCTTTGGAAATTATTCAGATAATCTATGTAGAAGACAAACAACTGGTACTTACTGCCTCTGTTGATGGCTCAGTAAGGTAAGCTAAAAAGGCCTTATACTGTAAATTTAGGGTTTTGAGTATGAGAGATGAAGGATTTTAAGCTAAATTTGAAGTATATAATTCAAATGCAATTTTGGTAAACTGATTTAAATAAATACATAAATAAGTAGGGACACAAAATTGTTTTGAGAAGATGGCCACTGATTTGGAATTCTCTTCTATGCACAGAGAAATAAGGTACCATGTACCTATGTCAAAAGGTATAAAAAATTCTTTCCATGTAAGTTTATTGTAGAATTATTTCAAATAATTTAGCAAGATAAATACCTCAGAGAGTTAGCCCAGAGAAGGTCACAGAAGGAGGTTAAGAAACAGAAGTCATAGAAAAGTCAAACGAAAGAGCAATTAGTACTGAGAAAAGTGAATAAGCTGATTATTTCATTGATACTATGATTGATTTTGCAAAGTCAACTTGTTTTTAGTTACCTAAATAATGCTAAGTACCTATACACAGAATCATAAAACATATAAAAACTTATAATCATATATAAAGAGAAATAAAGAAATGCCATGACATTTCCAGAAACAGTTTGCTGCATATTGGAATATCTTAAAATCATGGTAATTAATTACTATCTTAAAAGAATGAAGCTAAGTAAGATTAAGAGTGGTAGAGGCAGCCAGGCTCGGTGGCTCAGCCTGTAATCCCGCGACTTTGGGAGGCTGAGGTGAATGGATTGCCTGAGCCCGCAGGTTCGAGACCCGCCTGGGCAGCGAGACCTCATCTCTACAATAAATCAAAAAATCAGCCGGGCGTGGTAGCGCATGCCTGTAATTCCGGCTACTCAGAAGGCTGAGGCGGAAGGATCGCCAGAGCCTAGCAGGTCCAGGCTGCGGTGGCCGGGAGTGGCCACTGCACTCCAGTCTGGGCGACAGAGTGAGGCTCCAACTCAAAAAAAAAAAAAAAAAAGAGTGGTAGAGGCTTAAAAGTATATTAGACAACATGCAGAAACAAAAAGTAAGAGACTTTTTAAATTTTAACAAAGGTGAGGTGCAATTCCACCTAAATTTTTATGTTGCATTAAATCCCTGGATTGTAATTATATAGACCCTAGCTAATTATATGGACTTGAACCTAAAGAGTGAGGCAGGAACAAGGTCACTGGTGTCTAGTAGGATCTTTCCCCTAAAAGAAATAGCCACTGAAGGATTTTAAGCAGTGGAGTAACATGATTTGATTCACATATTTCTGGAGAATAAATTGTAGGGCAGCAGAAGTGGGAACAAGGAAACCAGTTAGAAGTGAGTGGTGAATATAGTGGCTTAGATTGGGACGCGGCAACTAATTTGAGAGCTATGTAGGAGGTAAAATCAAGAAGACATGAACTTGAACTGAAAGGAGAGAGAAGTGATAAATGTCAAGAGTGACATCTGGCATATACAACTAGGTGTATGTTAGTGCCATTCATTAAGATAGATATGAAGAGAGGAAAATGTTTAGAAGATGAAAGGATGAGCAGAACTTTTAGAAATGTTGACTTCAAGGTGAATCTATAAGGTTAAGGAACTATTTGGAGGCAATGGTTAGTGCTACTTCCTCTGTCAGAAAGGACATCTGCCATTTTATTTGTAGAAAAGATTATGAACATGAAGTTTCATTATCGTGGCTGATCTTAATAACTTAGTCCTTTGGTCTCTGCTCCAGCTTATTGTCAGCATCTTCCAGCAGAACTGCTAATTGGAGATTATAATACACACACATACATACACACACACACACACACACACACACACACACACACCCCAATTACATGTTCACATGTCTCTGTCATTGTAAGTATTCTCTGCTTGTCGTGGTCTGTTTGGGATACTATAACAAGATACATCAGATTAGGTAATTCATAAACAACAGAAATTTATTGCTTACAGTTCTGAAGGCTAAAATATCTAAGATCAAAGCAATAGCAGATTCAGAGTTTGCTCTCTGCCTTGGAAATGATGCCTTCCAGCTGTGTTTTTACATGACAGAAGAGGAGAAAAAGATCCCTCTGGTCTTTTTGTTTGTTTGTTTGTTTTTGTTTTTTGAGAGAGTTTCACTCTGGCACCTAGGCTGGAATGCAGTGGCACAATTTATGGCTCACTGCAGCCTTAACCTCCTGGACTCAAGTGATCCTCCTACCTCAGCCTTTCAAGTAGATAGGACTACAAGCACATACCACCATGACCGCCTAATTGTCTATGTTTTTGTAGAGATAGTGTCTCACTTTACTGCCCAAGCTAGTCTCGAACTCCCGTAGTCAAGTGATCTTTCTACCTCAGTCTCCCAAAGTGCTGGGATTCCAGGCATAAACCACCATGCCCAGCACAGGCCTCTTTGTTAAGGGTGTTAATCTCATTCATGAAGGCAGAGCCCTCGGTGACCTAGACACCTCCCAAAGGTTCAACTTCAGAACTACCACACTGGAGATTAGATTTCAACATACGAATTTGGTGATGGGGGACACAAACATTCAAACCATAGCACTTCTCAAACCAGGTACCCTTGGCATGGAGAAATTACTTTTACGATTCCTCCAAGTGAAAGTCTCCCTAGATATTAAGTTCAAAGAGCCTGACTTTATTAATGGCTGCCTCAGTATACAACTTTCTTTGTAACTAAGCCATGTTCTTTTGCTAATACTAGCTGCTGCTTTCCAAATTGATATTCAATTTTAACTTTCTAAATCTGGTTTGTCAAAAAGTTCATGATGTTTTAATGGGAAACAAACATAATTGACACTTAACTCTGAGACCACAGGATAGGTAATCAGTCTGAAGACAACATTTCAGGAAGGCAAAGTGAGACAGGGTAGCTAAGGATCCATGCTTGAGGTCCAGGAAGTCAAGCTGAGAGGCAAGATCAGTTATTTGAGAGAGCTTCACATAGCAGGAAGCATAAGAAACAAGGAAACCAAGAATCATTTCAGTCCTGGCCTAGAGCAAAATAAATTAGGAGATGTTCTCAATTTAGTCCCTCACTCTTCTAACTTTTGCATTTAAAGTGCGCTGCTCCATTTTTCTTTGGTAAAGACTCTGTGAAGGCCATGACGGTTCTGTAGTGCTGGAGAATTAACATATGTAAGGGTTATAAGGTGCTAGTGTTTAGTGCTCAGACACTGTCAAGTGTGAGGAATTCCAACTGTATACCTCTGTTTCTGCCTCCTCCTCAGCATCTGCCTGTTTGAGGTGGAATATTACTTGAACTTTATAGAATCTTCTCTTAGTTCCTTTCACTTGTCCTCCTCCTTTTGGATAAATGCAGCAAGGCACATGATGTTTGTTTCTATCATTTGCTTCTCTGAGGTTGAAATCAAGAAATAAAAGGAACATCTTCCAATACTATTTTATCTTTTCACATGGCCCAAGGCACACATTCCTCCTGCTCATGATATTCTGTATTACTTTAAAGAACATGGGCTTTCTAGAGGGCTTCTTGGAGTGAATTGATGGTGAGATAATGCATATGGATAAAGAGCCCATTCTCTTGCCATCCTATTTTATAACTCAATTGTAAAAATCATTATGGTATTTTTACAATAGTCGCAATTATGGATTGAAGTTGGGAAGACCTTGATAAGAGTAAAAGCATCACTGGTGGCCAGGTGCGGTGGCTCAGCCTGTAATCCCAGCACTTTGGGAGGCCAAGGCGAGAGGATTGCCTCAGCCCACAGGTTTGATACCAACCCAGGCAACTTGGTGAGACCTTGTCTCTACAATAAATCACAAAAAAACTAGCTGAACATGGTGGCGTGTGTCTGTAGTTCCAGCTACTTAGAAGGCTGAGACAGAAGGATCGCCTAAGTCCCGCAGGTGGAGGCTGCGGTGGCCATGAGCGTGCTGCTGCATTCCAGCCTGGGCAACAAGAGTGAGACTCAAAAACAAAAACAGCAACAACAAAAAGCATCACTAGGTCTATACTCCCACACTGATTCAAAAAGAATCCAGCTGAGATTAGGCCCATCCTAATATCTAGTTCAACTGATAGATTGTTAGTCAATGGGGGTTCTGATTAGCTTGAATATGCAGCATTATTTTGGGGAAAAAATCTGCTTCTTGTTTTCTAGTTTTGATAAATGGTTCATAAGTACAGATTCAAACTGATATTTCCCCAAAAGTTTGTGGACTAGAGTCTAACAAATACAAGTGTTTATGTTATGATCAACTCCACAATATTTAATAGAAAGAGTCTTGGACTCAAAAGTCCTTGATGGAGGCCAGGTGTGGTGGTTCACGCCTGTAATCCCAGCACTTTGGGAGCCAAGATAGAAGGATCACTTGAGCCTAGCAGTTTGAGACCAGCCTGGACAACATAGCAAAACCTTGTCTCTACAAAAATAAAACTTGAATGAATTAATTAGCTGGGTATGGAGGCACATGCCTGTAGTCTCAGCTACTCTAGAGGCTGAAGCAGAATGATCACCTGAGCCTAAGAGGTCAAGGCTACAGTAAAGCCGTGATCATGTGTGCCACTGCACGCCAGCTTGGGCAATAGAGTGAGACTCAACTCAAAAGAAAAAAAAAACCCTTGATAGACCAGTATAAATCCATATAAATGAGCTGATGAACAGAATAACTTCCACTGAATTTCTCAGTTAGTTTCTCATGCCTTTCTTTGCTTCTTCAGGCTGTGGCATGCCTTCAATGGTCACTATTGTGGATATTTTGGACAGCAAAGGAACTTTGACTTGTCACAGATGAGAGATTTCATTTTGCCTTGTGATGTTAATGAATATCCCATAGAGATAAGAGAAGAAAGCAAGTTCACAGAGAAGAAGCAAAAATATGAATACCCTCTGATATTTGACCGGGAAAGGTAAGACCACTGACTTTTCTTTAAATGAATGTATAAGAATTAAACTAGTATGATACTGTGACACTGTGCTCTGGAGAATTCAAAAGTGAAAGACCCAGAACTTACCAATAATTTTGCGATGCAATGGAAAGGGGAAATTTATAAACAAAAAGCTGTAATTCAGTATAGTAGTACTTCTGGGAACATCTAATTCTTAAGCTAGTAAAAGGGTAAATAGGATTTAGCCAAAGGAGATCCAAAAAAAATTGCTTGTTTGTTGGGGAGACTTGAGCATGCTTAAAGGCTTGGGGGTGGAAGGATAGAGACTAGAATGTTAGTAAGAGGCGATGTTGTGTTTTTTGCAAATTTCAGTCTGCATATGATTTGGGCTGTGGTCAGGCATTTGTCATAATGGAAGATATTGGTACTCATCTGAGCTTTCAATATCAGCAAAGCTCAACTCTAGATGGTGAATGTCAGATTGTCTAGCCTTCAGAGAGCCAGACCTTCCTAGACTGGTTACATCTTGCAGACCAGAACGGAGGGAGCCGAGGGAACTGAGGGAAGATGAGTCCAAGTGGGAAGAATCACTGGGGGTTGTCAAAGACAAAGTTCTTTCAGAAAAATCCTATGTGAGCCAAAGCTGGGAAGACCCAACATCATTAGCTAATCCAAAGGATGGTAGAGAGGCTAAAATAGGAATTGAAGGGAGGAATCAGAAGCCATAGAGAATTCAAATCAAAACAGGAACAATCTGAGAACAATCAAAAAGGATTCCACATGACCCCATCAGGGTGTTCAAGGCTTGCCTTGACTAATCAGCAAGGAGTACTGGAGGAGAGGGAAGGCTAAAATGTAAGACGTGGTATAGAAAAGCTAAGCCTTGTTGCCCACTCTCACCCCTCTTGTTCAACACTGTGTTGGAAGTCCTAGCTAGGGCAATTAGACAAGAGAAGGAAATCAGGGGTATCCAAATAGAAATAAAGGAAGTCAAGTTATCTCTCTTTGCTGATGATATGATTTTTCTTTTAAACTTTTAAATTTTTGTTATTTTAAAATTGTGGAGTACAATTCAGGGTTAGGTATACAAATATTCATTGTGCAAGTACCCTTGTTGATGAGGTGTGCCCCAACTCCCCAGGCAGATTTCCACTACTGTCAATACCACCTCCCACCCCCACAGTTTCCTGCTACTGTCAATCCTTTTCTTATAGTATTACAGTAGTTCAAGGTCCACTTATGAGTGAGAACATGTGATACTCAGTTCTTTGTTTCTGTGAGAGATCACTCAGTATTATAGACTCTAAGTCCATCCAGGTTGCTGTGAAGTTCATGATTTTGTTCTTCTATATGGCTGTGTAATATTTCATTGTATACATGTACCACTTTTTTTTTAACCCGGTCCTCTTTTGATGGGTAGCACGTTTGGTTCCATGTTCTTGCTATTGTGAACAATGCTGCGATAAACATACGTGAGCAAGTATCTTTTTTATAGAGTGATTTGAGTTCTTCTGGGTATTTTCCCAGTAGGGGGATTGCGGGCTCATATGGAAGGTCGACTTTTAGAACTTTTAGGAATCGTCACACTGTTTTCCACAGAGGATATACTAGTTTACACTCACACCAACAGTGTAGAAGTGTTCCCTTTTCACCACATCCTCTCCAGCATCTATTGTTTTTTGAGTTGTTGATGATGGCCATTGTGACTGGAGTTAGGTGTTCTCTCAGTGTAGTTTTAATTTGCATCTCCTTGAAGACTAGTGAGGCTGAACATTTTTTCATGTATCTGTTGGCTGCTTGTATGTCTTCTTTTGATAACTATCTATTCATATCTTTTGCCCACTTTGTAATGAGGCTGTTTGTTTGTTTTTTGTTTTTTGTTTTTCTTTTCAGCACATTTGAGTTCCTTGTAGATCCTAGATGTTAGGCCTTTGTGAGACATGGAGTAGGCAAATATTTTTTCCCAGTCTGTGGGTTGTCTTTCTGTTCTCTTGGTGGTTTCTTTGTTTTGCAGAAGATTATGGGAAAATATTCCATGCCCATGGATTGGAAGAATCAACATTGTTAAGATGTCCGTTCTACCTAAGTCAATCTACAGATTTAATGCAATATTCATCAAATTACCAGCACCATTCTTCTCAGGCCTAGAAGCAACAATACAGGAATTCATATGGAAACATAAATGACCACGAATAGCCAAAACAATCCTCAGCAAAAAAAACCCAAAAAACAAAAAACCAAAGCAGGAGATATCACACTCCCAGACTTTAAACTTTATTATAAAGCTACAATAGTCAAAACAGCCTGGTGTTGGTACAAGAACAGACATATAGACCAAAGGAACATGGAACAGGATTGAGATTTCAGAAGCAAAACCTCAATTTCTCAACCAACTCATCTTCGATAAAGCCTCCACCACCAACCACTAGGGAAAGGAGAATCTATTCAGTAAATGGTGCTGGGAAAACTGGCTGACCCAAATGCAGAAGACTAAAACAAGACCCCTACCTATCCCCATACACAAAAATCCACTCTAAATGGATCAAAGACCTAAACATAAAACCTCAAACTATAAGAACCTTAGAAAATGCAGGAGGTATCCTTATGTAAATTGGAACTGGCGACCAATTCCTGATCAAACCCCAAGTGCCCATGCCATAAGAGATAAGATAGACAAGTGGGACCCCATCAAACTGATGAGCTTCTACAAAGCAAAAGAAACCATCAGGAGAGCAGGGAGACAGCCCATAGAATGGGAAAAAGTATTTGCCAACTGTATATCTGACAAAGGCCTAGCATCTAGGATTTACAAGGAACTCAAACACGCCAAAAAGAAAAAAACAGCCCCATTAAAAGCGGGCAAAAGAAGATATACGGGCAGACAACAGACATGTGAAAAAGTGGTCAGCCTTACTCATCATCAGAGAAATGCAAATCAAAACCACATTGAGATACTACTTAACCCGAGTAATAATGGCCATCATTAATAAAACAAACAACAGATGCTGGCGAGGATGTGGAGAAAAAGGAACATTTCTATGCTACTCGTGGTAATGCAAACTAGTGCAACTTCTTTTGAAGGCAGTGTGATGATTTCTGAAAGAACTAGAAATTGACTTCCCATATGACCCCACAATCCCCCTATTGGGAATATACGTGAAGAAACTCAAATCATTCTACAAAAAAGATACCTGCACACGCATGTTTGTTGTAGCTCTATTCACAGTAGCAAAAACATGGAACCAACCGTGTTGCCCATCGAAGCGGGACTTGATAAAAAAAAAAATGTGGTACATATACATAACAGAATATTACGCAGCCATAAAGAAGGACAAACATGGACCTCACAGCAAATTGGATGGATTTAGAGTCGATCATACTCAGTGATCTATCACAGAAACAAAGAACAGAGTGTACCATATGTTCTCACTCATAAGCAGAACTTGAACAATTATAATACTATAAGAAAACGGTTGACAGTAGTGGGAAACTGCCAGGGGAGAAGGGGTGGGATTGACAGTTGAGGAAAACTGCCAGGGGTAAGAGGGGGACACTTCATCAACAAGGGTACCTGCATAATGAACATTTGTATACATAACCCTGAATTGTACCCCACATCTTTAAGATCTTTAAGAAAAAAGAAAACACACCTGCCCACAAAAAAAAAAAAAAAAGAAAGAAAGAAAAGTTAAACTTCATCAAGGTGGGGTCAAGATGTTCTCAAAGCAAAGTTGATAGTCCTACCTTTTGTGTAATTGCTTAGTCTTATACCTTAGTACTTAAGAAAATGGATTCTAATTTATTAATATGTGTCTTCTTTACTATGCTGTGAGTTCGTTGAGGACCTAAACCTTTTTTATATATCTCTGTATCCCCAATTCTTAGCTCAGTGCGTAGCACTAGTACTCAAGAGATATTCATGGAACAAATAAAGAACGACAAGCAGAGGCAATAGATGTAAATGGTGTATACAGAAAAATGAAGGGTATGGTATATTTGGGATAACTGGAGTATAGAATATGTGCTCCCATTATGTTGTTATTACTAAATAATTATGTTTTATCTACAGCAAAATGGGCCTTTTTCTATAGAATGACTTCATCTCAGAACATTTTTTTTGTCTTTGAAAATGTTTTTAGGCCGGGCTCGGTGGCTCAGCTTGTAATCCCAGCACTTTGGGAGGCCGAGGTGAGTGGATTGCCTGAGCCCGTGGGTTCGAGACCCACCTGGCCAACTTGGCGAGACCTCGTCTCTACAATAAATAAAAAAAATTAGCTGGGCGTGGTAGTACGCGCCTGTAGTTCCAACTACTTGGAAGGCTGAGGCGGAAGGATCGCCAGAGTCCAGCAGGTTGAGGCTGCGTGGCCAGGAGCGGCCACTGCACTCCAGTCTGGGCGACAGAGTAAGACTCCAACTCAAAAAACAAAAACAAAACAAAAAAAGAAAATGTTTTTAGTGCTTAGTTATGACTTTCCAAATATATACATAATTAAGTTTTGACTATAGGAGATGCTTTCATGAGGAACACAAAAGTCAAGCATTGATTTTATAAAAGGTGTTTCCCATCCCTACTATATAGGTTTTTTCAATAGCTATTAATGAATTAAATTACATGGAATGTTCCAGTTGGGTATAAATTGCTCTGGTTTCTATAAAGGGAAATCTAGGGAGCCAAGTGGAAGAAGAGTAAGGTACAGAGATATTGTCATTGGGACTGATGCCATGGAGCCAGAAAATTTGGGCACCAGAGAAGAAGGGCATAACAGATATTTGTTTAGTTGGCAGGGAATAAAAGATATGAACACACAGTTAACTTTTTTTTTTTGTATCTTTATATGCAGATGGAAGAAAATGAGCTCAATGTCTTTACTTTTCAAACGTACTCCTCCCAAGCCCTTTGAAGTAGAACAGGATTTCAAGTTTTTCAAGTCTCTTTCTTCTCCCAAGGTAGCTTAAACGAAATGAAACAGCAAAAAATGCTTTGCTATTGCTTTTTGAATTCAAATATGTTCAGTAATGTAGCATATTAGTTTTCTGTTGCTAGTGTTAAAAATTACAAAAAACTTGGTGGCTTAAACAATGTGAGTTAATTATCTTACAATTTTGTACATCAAAAGTTCAACCTGAGGCTCACTGGTCTAAAATTGAGTTGTCACCAGAGCTGATTTTCTTTCTAGAGGCTCTAGGGGAGAATCCTATATTCCTTAGTTTGTGACCCCCTTATTTCATCTTCGAAGCCTAAAATGTTCCATCTCTCTGGCTATGTGTTCACATGTCACTCTGATCCAGCAACAAAGATTCTCTGCTTTTAAAAATGCGTGTGGGGTAGGCATGCAGGCTCAAACCTATAATCCCAGCTCTTTGGGAGGCTGAGGTGAGAGGATCACTTGACCCTAGGAATTTGAGACCAGCCTGGGCAACATAGTGAGATCCCGTCTCTACTGAAAATAAAAGGAAATTAGCTAGGTCTTGTGGTGTGTGCCTGTAGTTCTAGCTACTTGAGAGGCTGAGGCAGGACAATTGCTTGAACCCAGGAGTTCAAGGTTGCAGTGAGCTCTGATTGTGCCACTACACTCTAGCCTGGGTATCAAAACAAGGAGATCCTGTCTCTAAAAAAAAAAAAAAAAGAAGAAGAAGAAGAAGAAGCTGGGATCGGTGGCTCAGCCTGTAATCCCCCACCTTGGGAGGCTGAGGTGAGTGGATTGCCTGAGCCCACGGGTTCGAGACCCGCCTGGGCAACTTGGCGAAACCTCATCTCTACAATAAATCAAAAATCAGCCAGGCATGGTAGCGTGCGTACCTGTAGTTCCAGCTACTTGGAAGGCTGAGGCGGAAGGATCCTCGGAGCCCAGCAGTTCGAGGCTGCAGTGGCCGGGAGCAGCCACTGCACTCCAGTCTGGGTGACAGAGTGAGACTCCAACTCAAAAAAAAATTAAAAAAAGAGAGAGAATAGGATGTAAGTGTTTTTGGTAGCCATTCTTGAACCTTTCACAGGCAGACACATTTTTCTTAAGTGCAGAATTAAGAGAGAAAAGTATACTGCTGTTTATTCTATTTCTGTTTTTAACTCTTCTAGAAAATGGATATAAAATTTGTCTTTAGGCTAAGGTCTGGCATTAATGAATTAAAATTGATTTCCCCAAGATCTCCCACAAAATAAACTCAAGTTCCTTTTCTTTTTTTTTTTTTTTGAGTTGGACTCTCACTCTGTCGCCCAGACTGGAGTGCAGTGGCCACTCCCGGCCACCGCAGCCTCGACCTGCTGGGCTCTGGCGATCCTTCTGCCTCAGCCTTCCAAGTAGCCGGAATTACAGGCGTGCGCTACCACGCCCAGCTGATTTTTTGATTTATTGTAGAGATGAGGTCTCGCTGCCCAGGCGGGTCTCGAACCCGCGGGCTCAGGCAATCCATTCACCTCAGCCTCCCAAAGGCGCGGGATTACAGGCTGAGCCACCGAGCCCGGCTCAAGGTCTTTTTCTAAACTTCATCTCCCATTACTAAGCTACATTTACCCCACTCTCTATAAAGGAGATTAATTGTTGTTTCCCTGAGCATTCCTCTGGGTTTCTACCCCTATGATTCAGTTCACCTGGGATGTCCTTGTGATATCCATAACCTCTCTCCAAGTCTACCCTACATCTAAAAGTCATGTAACTGACAAAAGATTAGGGTACAGAATATGTAAAGAACTCCAAAAATTCAGTGACAAAAAGACGATCTCATTTTTAAAATGATTAAGAATGAGTGAATTAAGCAAGATGGCAGAGTAGAACTCTGAAATGATCATCCTCTTACAGAAACCATATTGACAAATAACAAAAAGTCTGGCAATATCAAGGGTTAGTGTTTGAGAACACTAATCTTCTGGTGGTAGTAGTGGAAATTGGCAGAGCCACTTTGGAAATCATGTGGCATTATCTGTTAAAACTGAAAATAGGCATACCCTACAAGTATACACCCTGGGAACACTCTAGAATGTGAGCTTAGGAGACGCGATACAAGAGTGCTCGGAGAAATACTGTTGATAATAGCAAATGCCACTTAAATGCTCATCCATAGGATTATGGTCAAATAAATGGCAGCATATTCATAAACTGGAATGCTATAGAACAGTGAAAATAGCTTGAGTAACACTCGTCTGCGTGAATCAATGTTTGAAACATGCAATTGAATGAGAAAAGTTTTGCATCATATACACATAGTAATTTCGTTTATGTGAAAGTCAAGAACAAGCAAAACTAAAGAAAATGTTGGTTTGGCAAGGTAAAATTATATAAACAAAAGCAAGAGAGAATGAAAAGCACAAAATTCAGGATTGTCACTTATGTCCGAGGACAGATGAACAGGAGTTAGGCCTGGGAACTGCATGCTGAGAGGTTCAAAATTGAGGATGTTGTTCCAATTTGTAAACTAGGGAAGTGGATCCATGAGTGGCCACTGAATGTTAAGCATGTCATTATTCTTTAACAGTATCTACTTCATGTTTAATATTTAATACTTTTAGAATGAAATAATTGTCAAAAACCCTACCTTTCTGTCCAAATGGAACTCAGATAGCTTCTTTTCCCTGAAGACAGCATGATAAAAAGGGAAGATACAGGGTGTGGAGTCTCACAGACCTAGGTTTAATTTTAGATAAGTTATTTTATTTCTTTCCTCATCTGAAAAATCCCTCAAAGAGCTGTTATGAGGATTAAATATAACCAGGAGCATTTTACATTCTCAATAAATGTCAATTTCACTCTCCCTGTAGGCTTCATCGCATATAAAACTTGCTTTGTGTCTTTTAACATATCCTCTTAGCATGTTTACATTAAATTAGAATTATTTGTATACTCCTCTTTACTTCCCGTCCCCACCACTAACTCATAAGCTCTTTATGAACAAAGATGTGCTCATAACATGGAAGGGATACTCAATTTTGTTGAATAGGATTAAAATAATGCAACCTCGAAATAAGGATTGGTATTCACTTTAATATTCTCTTTCAATTTAGAGATAAATTATTTTGTTTAAAGTAAATTACCTGAAACATCAAATAAATTTGGAGAAATCTTTAGAATGGTTTTTTAAAACCTTTGAAATAACTGAATGTCCCAAATATTTTAAGGCTTTCCCTCTTTCTCTCTTTTTATCCTATCTTGTTGGTAAAATAACAAAGATTCACTGCTAAAGTTAAATTAAAATGCCTTTCACTTAGGATTCTCTGATTTTTACCAGCAATCTCATTTTGCCCATTCCTTTTTATTCTCAATTATGTAATGTTTACTTATTCACCTCTCTGTTAATTTTTTGCCATATTGTTAGCAGTGATAATAAATATAGCTGGGCTTGATGGCTCAACCCATAATCCCAGCTCTTTGGGAGGCTGTGGTGAGTGGATTGCCTGAGCCGACGGGTTTGAGACCCGCCAGGGCAACTTGGCGAGACCTTATCTCTACAATAAATCAAAAATTAGCCAGGTGTGGTAGCGCGTGCCTGTAGTTCCAACTACTTGGAAAGCTGAGGCGGAAGGATCGCCGGAGCCCAGCAGGTTGAGGCTGCAGTGGCCAGGAGCGGCCACTGCACTCTAGTCTGGGGGACAGAGTGAGACTCCAACACAAAAAATAAATAAATAAAATGATACTACATCTTACATTTGAGTAACACCTTACCATATATATGATTTCATTTTGTTCTCATAACTAGTCAACAGAGAAAGACTTTGCCTAAGATCATGCAGCTAATAATTGACAGAGTCAGGATTTGAATGCAGGTATTTTGCCACAGATGGAATGTGACCTTTTCATTAAACATTTATTCTTGTTTTGCAGAATCAAAGACATGCCTTGGAAGGTTTTATGTCTGAAAACAGAGAGGCAGGAATTGTTTTTGGCTCTCTGCCTATATACAGGGTGAGTTGGAGGTTTCTAGGACTAGAGTGATAAAAAAACAGAAAATCTACCATCTCATTCCTGACCCTGGGATACCAAGAAAGGTTGGAGAAAGTCACATAGCCAAGTCAACCAGTGCTTCCAAAAATGTATTGTGTCTAATCCCAGAGAAGTCTTGGGTTCTGCGTGTCAGCGGCCTGAATCACTTATCTCTGTCATTACATATAATAGTGCCATGCTGGACCCCCAGTGAGTCCATCATGGACAGCACAGTATCCGAGAGGTCAAAAAAAAGACGTGAGCAGAAGACATTGGGCAGGCATAGAGTTTATTGGAGACTTACTCACAGGGTGTACTGGGCAGCTGGCTGAACAGAAAAAGAAAAATCCACTACCATTTGTGACAAGCATGAAAGTTACTATACAGTAACTTTCACATAGCAACTTCTACTTGGCAACCTCCACCTAACTCCAAACAAGGGACTTGGTTCCTTGTATATCCAGCATCTAAAGAAACAGGCCAGGGTCCAGATGTTTTCACAGGTATGGCATAAACATCCAAGCTGATCATTTCTGAAGTCCATACCCCAGAACATGGAACACACAATCACCAAGGAATGACCCAAGATCATTCTCAGAGTATGCTTGAGTTATTGCTGCCTGGTAAGACACACCCGCCATACAGGTAGTTATTTTGAACTTTACCCTGGTGGCTCTTCAACACCTACAAAATAAAATCCATATGCCTTAAGCTCGTATGCAAACCTTCCATGATCTGACCTCATTCCCACCATATTCTCCCCACGTTCTTCCAATATTCCAGCCATGCCAAATTACTTGGCATGTCTTGGGCATCACTGATCTCTCCATTACCGAAACTGTGCCTGTGCAGCCCCCCTACCCAGGATTCATCCGTCACTCATTTTCTTCCAAATCCCTACTCATCCTTCAAGGCTCCACCCCAAGCAACCTCTACTAAAGAATGAGTTAAACCGGGCTCGGTGGCTCAGCCTGTAATCCCGCGCCTTTGGGAGGCTGAGGTGAGTGGATTGCCTGAGCCCGCGGGTTCGAGAACTGCCTGGGCAACTTGGCGAGACCTCATCTCTACAATAAATTAAAAATTAGCCAGGCGTGGTAGCACACGCCTGTAGTTGCAGCTACTTGGAAGGCCGAGGCGGAAGGATCGCCGGAGCCCAGCAGGTCGAGGCTGCGGTGGCCGGGAGCGGCCACTGCACTCCAGTCTGGGCGACAGAGTGAGACTCCAACTCAAAAAAAAAAAAGAATGAGTTAATTAACCCAAAAAATAATAAGCCAAAGATCAAATATTTCAACATGATCATAAATTATATCTCAACTGTTATTTATCTTTCCCAAGAACATGTTCATTGTAATAGGTGTCAAACACTTAAGTTAACAAATGATGCTGAGAGTGAACTCTCAAGAATTAAAAGTGGACAACTAGGAGGGAGGTCTGTATTTTGAAGCAGCTGAACCTTCCTCCTCACCCCTCATCCTCCGTCCCTGATTTTACATTATAGAAGTAGTTACTTCAAGTATGTCTAACTCATATGTGGTTTCCAGGTATCAAGCCCCACGAGCCTACGATTCCTTCCACTCATTGGTGTTGAAATACAAAAGGATTTTTTAGAAGGCACTACAGAAAGAAAAAAGGGATTTCACATTCAACATGAAAAGGTAAGTTAGAACCACAAGCAGTGGCTCACATCTGTAAACCCCGAACTTTGGGATGTCTAGGCAAGGAGGATCGAGGCTCCCATATCTACAAAAACATTTTGAAAATTAGTCAGGTGTGGTGGTACATGCCTATAGTCCCAGCTAGTCAGGAGGCTGAGGCGAGAGGATCCCTGAAGTCTGGAAGTTCCAAGTTATACGCCAACCTGTCTCTATTTTTAAAAAGTAAGTTAATACTAATTCCACAGTGTATCCCACTTATGTTTGGTTTTGAATTTTCCTCTGTTCCCAGAAACCTTCTGAGCCTAAAATTATTTTAGTTCATACTCTTTTTATGAATATTCTGGATATGTGAGTTTTAGCTCAGTGAAATAGAAATCATACATTTGCTGGACAGAGAGAAAAATCAAATAAGACCTATGAGCCTGAACTAATAAATCTTTTCTAGAACTTTAAGACTGAAATTCACTGAGTTGTTTTAGAAGCTAGGCAATTTGAGACTACAGAGCTGGGGGCTGTTCGGCCATCCTTACTTCTTAATAATATTGTACCTACAGGATGAAGCCATGACATTAATGTGTTTCTGGCTTACCAACAAGAATTTTTCTCATGTATTAATAAAAATAACTCACATATAATTCTTTACAGTTCATGAAGTTTTTTAAATAAGTGATTCCTTTGATTTTCACCGTAAGTGCAAAGAAAATGTTAGACCTTCTTAGCGTTGGAAAAAAATAGAGCCTAAAGCAGTCAAGTGCCTTGCCAAAGATCACATACAAATTAAGTGATAAACTGAGATCTACTCTGACTCCAAATGTCATACTCATTCATTAAACCATAACAGCCTACACAACTATCACTACATAGCTATCACTCTTCTACTAGTTCTGGAAGGTTGCATGGGCCTAATTTAACCTGTGGCCATTTGAATTCAGTCATTAAAATAGATCAAACATTTTAGGAACAAGATCTAGCACATAATTTTTCTAAGCCTCCTTTCAAGGAAGTCAGACTAAAATAAAAAAGGAGATGATTCTTATTGCCCATGCCTAATTTCATAACAGATAACAAACAGATAACAATAACAATTTTATGTACTTAGTGTAGATTCTCCCTCTGTAGCCCAAGGCTGTAGCATAGTGGTTCGATTCTAGCTCACTGCAGCCTTGAATTACGGGGCTAAAACAATCCTCCCACCTCAGCCTCCTGAGTAGCTAAGACTACAGGTGTGTGCCACTACACCAGGTCAACAATGACTTTTAAAAGCTTCTTTATTAGCCGGGCCCGGTGGCTCAGCCTGTAATCCTGCGCCTTTGGGAGGCTGAGGTGAGTGGATTGCCTGAGCCCGCGGGTTCGAGACCCACCTGGGCAGCGAGACCTCATCTCTACAATAAATCAAAAAATCAGCCGGGCGTGGTAGCGCATGCCTGTAATTCCAGCTACTTGGAAGGCTGAGGCGGAAGGATCGCCGGAGCCCAGCAGGTCGAGGCTGCGGTGGCCGGGAGCGGCCACTGCACTCCAGTCTGGGCAACAGAGTGAGACTCCAACTCAAAAAAAAAAAAAAAGCTTCTTTATTTAATTAACATTGAAAACTTGGCCATAATTTTGTTACCTTGTGCATTTAGTGAGAATATTAATGATTCCTGTTAATTATCAATTCTGCCAATCATTCTAGTAAGAATTTCTGGCAATAGAAGAGCTTTCTATAAAATAGTTAGCATTTGCTTTTAATTATTTTAAGTAAAAAATGAAACACAGTGGTATAAATAATCCAGAACTAAAAGGTAATTAAAAGAATATCTGTTTTTTTCTGTATGACTTTGTGAACACGTATGGGATTTTATAATTCATATACGTTATGCCTCATATTTGCAGTCTTATTTCAGTTTGTTTACTATCTCATCTGATAGTAAATATGCTTTACATTCTTTAAGTAAGCACTAAGTGACAGAAAGAAGAGAGCCAAATATATCTTAGGTTTCAGGAGAGACACAATATGATATTAAAAATTAGTCATGGTTAATCTACACAATAACTAACCTAAATTCCGATAATCAGAATTTGAAACTACTATGTTGTTGTTGTTGTTATTGTTATTATTATTATTATTATTTTATTGTAGAGTTGAGGTCTCGCCAAAGTGCCCGGGCTGGTCTTGATCCCGTGAGCTCAGGCAATCCTCTCACCTTGGCTTCCCAAAGTGCTGAGATTATAGGCGTGAACTACTGCGCCCGCTGTCCAAACACAGAAATTTTTAATACACCTGATATTCTGCTAGATGCTTTATTTTCTCTTAATTACTCTGATAAGAAAACCAAAGGGAGTAGTCTTCATTTGCTTACAAAAAACCTTGACTTAAAACTTGTCTCTAGTTTAATGAAGAAAACAGTTAAGCACGGTCAGGGGTTAAAATTAGTTTCCAAAATGAAATAAAATCAAGGCTATTTCAGAAAAATATGCACTTAGTAAGATAACAATAAGATCTGGTAATGGATAGATTAAAGCAACGTTCGTTATGTTGACTGAAATTTTAGGAACCCATACAGGCTAAGTGGAAAAATAGTGGATGAAATAAAATCAACAAATAGACACAAAGTGCCTGTTTTCATTAAAACACTTTCAGCCGGGCTTGGTGGCTCACCCTGTAATCCCGCACCTTTGGGAGGCTGAGATGAATGGATTGCCTGAGCCCACGCGTTCGAGACCCGCCTGGGCAGCGAGACCTCATCTCTACAATAAATCAAAAAATCAGCCAGGCGTGGTAGCGCGTGCCTG